TAATTCTTTAGGGAATGTACTAACAGATTTTTTAAACAAATAAACAAATCAAAAGAAAAAGTTTTTACATACTTCAATCGACCATATTGAATATATTTAACTGTTCGTTGTTCATTTTGATAATCACGATAGATTGTACGTAATCTTTTTCGATATAACAATGTACCTTCATTAACAGTAATAATTTTTGAAAGAATACTAAAAATTAAAAGAAGAAATTTATTAAGAAAAAAACAAAAGATTAAGAAAACTTAATAAACATACGATGGTGCATTTTTTAATGTTGTATTTTGATCAGAAACACTCTGTAATAATTTATCATATGCTTCACGGAATGCTGAATTTAGTTTTGGTGTTAACCATGAAGCTTTACTTATATCATTTTCTATTTTCAAAAATCGAATTTAGAAAAAAAATAAAATAAAATGAATTTTGTTTTATCTACATACTATCATTAAATGGATCAACAATACATAAATTATTTATTGTTCGATGTCCACAACAAAAATTTTTAAATAATTCTTCTTTATCAATAAAACCAGCTGGACGATCTGGTTGATGTGGTGTTTGTACACGTATACCTAATTTTGCATAATTAAAATAAACACCATATAATTCAAGAAAACTAATAAGCATATGTCCAAGATTAATATGTTCAATTGTATTATTTACTGTATTATTATTATTATCATTATTATTATTATTAAAATGATCATCATCAATATCACTATTATTATTACTAGAACTATTATTATCATCAGATGATATACATGAAGCAGCAGATGATGATGGATAAGATGTTGATGACGAAAAATCATCTGTTGTACCAGTTGTACTATTAGTTTTTATAGATGATGATGATGATGTTGATATAGTTTTCATTGTTACTGTTGAAGATGTTGATAAACCAGATAAAAATGATGAAGATAAGAATGGTGACCATAATGAATATTGATCTTTTTTATAATAAATCTATTTTTCAAATATATAAATAAGAATAGATAGACGAGCAAGATTGACTTATTTTCTTTCTTTTCTTTTTTTTTTATTTACCTGGAAAAAACAGACCAACATAAGAATAAGTGAATAACTACTAATACCACCAGTCCAAACCTCATTGAGATTAAGTTGAAGTAAATACTGTTTTAATACATACACAAGATATTTCAAATATGGATAATCTTCCATATAACGCTAGAAAAATTAAAAATTATTCATCATATACATGAGATTAGATAAGAGTATCTCGAATTTTCATACCCTAGACTTAGACATACTTTTCAGATTTGATTTTTTTATCAATGTATGTTTAGATAAACAATCTATATCTGTTACAAAAACAATCATTGTTTTAAAAATATTCTTTCAAGATCTTTTTTTTTAAAACTTTTATCAAAGATGACAATTTTCATCTAACAAGAGAAATTCCTCAACTGATTAATTACTTTGAAGTTTAAGCAATATGCATCATGTAAATTCAAATGAGTTGTGAATACGTTGAAAAGAGTTTGTGCTTGTAGCTTATTGTTGTTGAGATACTGCATTTTTTAAGTTGATGACATGGTCCGCCTGAGGAATAGTGGGAAAATTTGTTTTTTCGAATTTCGATTTGAAACTTTATTCAGAGATAAATCTTAACAAAAATAGTTTATTTGATTTTCTCCTTTTCTGAAATAAAAATATCAAATCTGCTTATGTAATATAAGCAATGTAAATGACAAGACTTTATTATAGCTATATCTTAGGATAGGAACAACGATATGATGTGAAACTCTTACAATCAACTATTCTCGCTTAGACTAGTCTGTATGGAAAGTTTCAAGTCAAAATTCAAAAATAAGTTTTCCTAGTGTCCCGGAAGGGGGCCACGACATTGACTTAAAAAACTTCCGTAAAAATGCAATATCTCAGCAGCCATAAGCTAAAGACACGAATTCTCTTTTCAAAGTATTCATAGATCATTAGAATCTACATAATGTACATAATCTCAACTCAAAAGCAATTAGACAGTTGAATGACTTCTCTCGTCAAATTATCATTCTCCATTAGAACCCATCGGATTCTACCCGAACTAGGTGGGATTCAGGTCCAAAAATTCTTAGGCCTTATGGACTCTACTCTTCATACTGGAAACACATTAATGAATCTTTATTTTTATTATAACATTGCCCTAGTCAACGTTTTTTCTTCATGCTCATGAAGCACTTGAATGTCTTGATCAAGAAAGTCATATCATATAAACATGTCTTGAAGCTTTTTGGCTAGCTCGAGCGTGTGTAATCCGTCATCTGTCTCAAGGATATCTATACTATTTGAACATAATAAAAATTTATAGCTTAAATAACAAAGTCTCTAACAAACATGTCACAAAAAAAAGTTGACTCAAGAACGTATTATTTTATGAAAATGAATTTTTTTTTTCTAAAATAAAATTTTTATTTTATTAATACATACAAGTATAAGTTGTGCACTTCGAAGTCCATTATTCATATTAAAACTCATATCAACTTTAACATCAGTTTTACGATCAGTTAATTTAATAATTGGTACAGTTGCACCATTTAATATTTGAATACCTTCTTGTGTACAAATACGATGACGACAAAATGCTTCACGTATAACTAACATTAATGCTTCTAATTCTTCTGGTCTCCATTGACGACCATCTTTTGAATGAACAATTAAATCAATATCACTTCAACATAAAAAAAAAAATTATTGTTTTAAAATACAGAAAAAAAAAATTCTTTTAACAAACCTCGTTGGTAAATACAATCCAGTTTTATAACTTCCATAAACATCAACCTAAAAAAACATAATTTTATCTTCTTTTTTTTTGAAATCTTTGTTTTTTTTTCTTCTTTCTTACAGAAGCTGTAGGTAAATATTGATTAATTACATTGGTTATACGATTGATGACTTGTTGTCTTACAGCATGTTCTTCTTCTGTTGGAATCATAAATTGATAAAATTGTAAAATTTCATAATGAAGGCGATAAAGACGAACTGACATAAATGGTGGTGCACTAATAGAAGAAAAAAAACAACATAAAATCAATTGTGAATTTATTATAAAATAATTTTTCATTATATACGAACGTCATTAAATCGAAAAGTTCAACAGGAATTTGTGTATATCTCCATGGTGGACATAGAGATCGTGGATCAACTTGTATTGGTGAACGTCGTAGAAGAAATCGATCATGTAAATAAACAGTACTTTTATCATGCATGATTGTTTCTCTA